AGATACACAGTGCAACAAGCTTTGTGTACACAGTCTGATGTCTGGGCCACTTCTTAGGATCATCACAAATGTCATTTTTTTCATATGAAAATCTTTATCTACGCTTGCAAACTAACAAGTGCTGACAATACTTTTTAACTGTGACGAAACTTCTTTTGTGGCCTGAAGCCACACAATTTAACTCCTGCAAAGCAAGTGCATACAATGCAGTCTGACTATTTCAGTCTGATCAAAATCAGTGCTACAACATGCCCTTAGGAAAGTAAGAGAGAACTACAAGTTGCATAAAGCAAGCCTGTATTCCAGTGATCTGACCAACCACTCTTTAGCTTTAGCACTGCCTGACTATCTCATTTACAAACAGTGACAAAGAATAGCTAGCAACCATTGTCCTTGTAACCTCTGCATTGAGGTCAACTTAGTTACATCTTCAACAGGGCCTAATTTCAAGCAGTTGCCACAGCCACAAATCTGCTAGGCATAAAAATCATTTGCTAAGCAAAAACAGGGTACTGGTCAAAATGCCATTAGATGTACACTGCCTACAACTGACCCTCTGCTCATCTTTGCTAAGCTTGTAAAACTGCTCACCAATTTTTTTTCTCCTGTGCAGTTCTGTGGAACTGCGTTCATTGGGTAAGCATGTACACTAGAGAATTAGACCAATCAGACTACATGCATAAAGGGCAATGGAGTTTAAGAAGCTTTGAGAACAATTGAATTGGGCACTGGTCTTCCAACTGTTTATAGAGAGGATCCTCTCTTTAGACCAGTGCCCAATTTCACAAAATGGCTAAGCAAAGAGTATTGCTGAAGAAGTTCACTGGTGTGGTCAATCTATAACCTGTTTTGCTAAACAAATGCCATGTATACCTTGTAGATTGGAGCACTTGGTACCTCTGTGAAATTGTGCCAGGGAGATTAGTCTGACTGTGTGAACAAGTAAGGAGGTGCTTGAGTATAACAATGTGTACAGCTTGTAAGCAGTTTCCAGCTGAATTTGGCTCAACAGAGCTAGAAATCTGCTTAGCATTACTTTCCACTAAGCACCTCTTTGACATCCCAGTTATCAAATTACCATCTGCACCTGTTAACTGATAATGAATTATCCATGGCTTTCAGTATCATATAACACATACCTTCATCTCTTCATGCATGAACTCCACAAACTCCTGCAAGGTCCAGTAATCATCTTCACCCGAGTACCTATCAACGCACAGACATCAAACAATGGTGAATGACAGAAAATTAAGGGTTCATCTCAGCACTAATTACATGGAGTGAATGCCAACTGTTTTCAGGTTCCCCATGGTGTAGTACATGAATAGGCATCCATAACATCTAGGACATTGCTTGTGACTCTTGAGCTGACTTAAAAGGGCCTGCTAACACATCCTTTGGCTGTGAAATGCAAACAGACAAATGCTAGCTAACTGTACGTCAATCTCCATGCTTGGGTGCATCTCACTTGATGTGATCCGGATCGTGATCTTTTGGTACATGTCTGATCGAAAATCTGATTGAAAAATTGACAAATGTTGGCAGTATTCCTGTCCGAGCAAATCCCCTCTCATTGTATTCATCTAGAAGCACATTCCTTGGAAACTGGACCCTTTGCATCAGCATCCCCAGTACAAGGGCTCACACTTTAAGTATAAAATTTGAACTGTTGTTGATATACACACACCAGAGATGAACAGATGCAGGCATGCATGCTGCAGAACCTCAAAATGCCCTCCCTGATGAAGTTTTTTACAGTTTTAGAGCTACATGTACATATGACACAAGTACATGTACAAATCTTCTGCACAAAATGAAGTTGGGCCTATAGATTTCAGTCACTAGCCTTTCACTGAAGAGAAAAAACTTTTACAAACGAGTACTAATTCTTTCCCCTCAAGAAAAGAACAATTTTTACTTTCTGAGAGTTCCCTGTTTTTTTTTTGTTTTTTCACGTTAAACATTACAGAAACTTACAGAAACAAATATTGTGGTAACTTCTACGTAAATAAGTGCTGAAGTAAGTGCATAGCTACATGTACCTACAAGAAATGTAAGCTGCATTGCAATTACAACGTACTTTGCAGCATAAACTCCTCTGATCATGGAGAAACCTGTTGCATTTATGTGAAATGAGTGCATGTACAGTGCTGTGCAGACTACATGTACATGTGTCATTCCCACACCAGAAGGACATCCTACAAGTAAACTGTGAAGCATGTAAGCCAAACTGTGTGAATGGTACTGATGATCAGGTTATGCATTGCTGATGAATTTGCTGGAGGTATGGCAATTCTAAGACAAGAAATGAGCTTTTCAAGGTATGCATGTTTCTGAAGATGACATGGCCCACTCCACTAATGGCTAAGGAGTCAGCCTCTCTGTCAGGCTCAGTTCAACTGATCAATTCACAGAGCACAATCAGATGCCCTTACTGAGTTAGTGATCTCTGAGATGGCAGAGATCAATAACAGCGTGCTTCATTGCCATTGACTTTTGAGTGACCACTCCCAAGACTGGATTTAAACAACTTACTCAATCTCACAAAATGCAAGAGCCTGTCCATTAAAATGAGGGAGCTTTGTTCGAGTTGAGGTAATTGTGAAAACAGTTTTAACACTCTTTAACAGCTTCTGTGAAAATCTTCCACATGCCCATCTTTACTGACAGCCGTTACTTTCATAACAACACTTTTCATGTTAATTTGACATTTATGATAACCTCATGTTAGATTATTCAAATACATTTTTAAAAGTTGCTGACAAGAAGTCTTATGACAAGACAAGAAGTCGTGTTTTATCTGTAATGAAATCATGAATATTAGATGGCTGTCTTCCTTGCTTGTTTCTGGAACAAATTTACTCAACTGACTTGCACGTTCATGTACCTGTAACCCCAAAAATCATTAAACGTGACCACTGTTATAAAGAGAATGCCAACTGCCATTTTCATGAAATTTCATATTTATCAAAAAGTGCTTTTGGACAGAAGCTATGGGATTCTATATCTTATGGTATGGTATGGTATTTTCTTTTTAATATCTAAAATGTTTTCATACTCTATACCCAGCCTCTGTTTATTCTATATAAGTACTTTAGATGGTTTACACATGGATACCCCAGCCTACACACTCAGCTAGGAAAGTAATTTCAATTCAATCGTTTATTCAAGCATGACTGACCAGACGTGTCCGATGACATTAACTGCTTGCATGCCATCAAAGCAAGGGAAGCAGGAATATGGTGTGTTTCTTGAGGTTAAACACTCTGCGGAATTCTGCCTTGTTTGTGAGGGATTTGGGGGCGCATTTCAAATAATAAGACCCTGCTACTCTTAGGAGTTGAGTTGTTTTTCTTTGAAAGAAGGATTATACTGTTCTTTTAAGCTTTCTTTATGCTGGGGGAAAAAAAGCTAACTTGGGTGTGATTTGAACTTATGACCTCGTGCCTACTAGAGCGGGTACTGTATGTAAGCCATTTCATAGATTATCAAGCATGTTAGGGTTATGGTTTTCCCACTCTCTGTCGGTTTACTAGCGCACTTTTTGCGGCAAATTATGTTAAGGCTCAACTTGTTAGGCTTTGCTTTAATTTTAATGTCCATGTAATTTTATTTCTTATTAATCCACAGACTGATGACTAGGAATCAAGAAATCTTTTTTCTTTCACCAGGTCCAACCTAAGAATAGAGGCCAAATGACGGACATCAACTGTCGGTGTTAAAACGCAGTTGGCAACTCTAAGTAATTGATATCTGTTAAATCCCGAGCAATCAGGTATACAAAAGGATTAAACATGGCGAAGAATCAAACTAGAGTTACAGAAGGGACATGGGGGAGATGATCTCTTACATATTTACGTGCTTATCCGGTACAACATGAAAGATGTATAAGACTTAAAGATGTACATGTATGCACAAATGGATGGCTGTTTCTTTCAAGTGTGACAGCTATTGCTACATTGGTCTATACAAGAATTCTTACTACATGAAAATTTATGCACTCACTAATTCATTTGCAGCCATAACAGTGAACAAGCAGGGTGCAGCACCCTCTGATGTTGCTGCTGAAGGGGTGCGCCTGAATGCTATGTACATGTACATGCATGTCTCGCAACGCATGATGTCATCCACACAATGGGAGTGACACAAATACCATAAAAAGGATGTCAGATGATCAATGTGTGAGTTAGGCCTAACAAGGTGTTTATAAACAAGTGTTAAATGTGAGCATTTGAAAAAAAAACAAACCAACTGACTAGCAATTGTTTTTGATAATACTGTCTTTTCCATTCCTTCAATTACATTTGTCATAGTAGGAAATAAATACGAACAAAAATACTCCTTCTGTAGATGCAGAGACTACGCATGTCGAAACATAAATGTTGCATGTACCAACGATGTGATGGGGAGTTATGTCCCATAACTCCGTTCCGCCAATCCCAATAAAAGAAATTGTCTCCTCAATGTGGTATGACAGCCTGGGTAGATCTGCTTAATCTCCAGAGTGTTCTCGATTACAAATGTGGATAGTATGAACATCCAGGACCCTGCACAACCACAGTGGCGCCAGGAGTTTTCAGGAGGGAGTAATTATCGTCAGTCCACTAACGACATGTAATACATTGTACATGTATTCTGGTTTCTATTGCCTACCAACACAATAGATACCATCTGTCAAATTATGTGTGTGTCTATATCAGCCCAGAGAGATGGGCAAATTGAAGATCAGTGAAATGAATGGCTTCTAGAAGAGAAAGGAAAGGTAGATTGCTGTTACAGCTTCTACACATTAATGGCTGGCTGTCCAACTTGTAAAATATTTGTTGAGAATTGGCATGTGTCTTTGAACCAAATTCAAACTGAATGATTATATGAAATATTGTACGATGATTTTACAATTAGCATAATCGAGAGATTCAAAGGACATGTTGACAAGAAATTTTGATAGAACAACAATGGCACTTATTGAGGTAACTAATCCTTCGTGGTGAGGTCTTCATGTTTTTTTCTAAGCCCTTCCCCTATATACGTGTACATGGCTAATTGCCAACCAAGTTACATCATCAGGTTTGTGGGTTATAAAGTTAACTATGACCATATTGCATTTTAATCCCCCCCTTTCATGTTTCTAAACAACATCCACCAAGCTTTTTTCCCCCACAATCGGACACACCCATCTGGTGGCATGAGGGCTTGTTGTGACAACTGTAACCCGACATACGCCTAGTGACTCATTGGAAGTTCCTATTGCTATAAATAGCAGGGTCGGGTGATCGCAAGCCAAGGGCAAAACTTCTTTGGCGATCCTTGTCCAAATGGATCTGTCTCAGGTCAAGGCAATGCAACCAATGCTGAAAACACAATAAAACTATTGAAAGTTTGTTAACAGTCCTTGAACTTCAGTCTCCTCACATGGTAAAGGCAACTATCCCCTGATGTGGAATGCAAGTAGGTTTATTTGAAAACCTTAATGCCCATGAAAAATTGGAAATATTTCGAAAAGCACCAATGTGCAAGAAAGAGTGAACGGCCTGCTTCAGAAAGAATTCCTGGGGATGATGAACAGAAGGTGTGGTGGCTGTTTTCAAATCAAATGAGAGACGAAGAAAGTTGACACTGAAAATGAGTGTTTAGCTAAGACCTTATCATTTATGAAGGTGGGTTTTGCTTGCACTGTAGCTTCTCTGTAACTGTGTATGCTTAACACATTGAAATGTAGGTGCTGATTATCAAGCACGGTATTTACAATGTAGTAAGTAACCATGAGCGGTAAACTCGTCAAAGAATTGCGTGGGGTTTGGTATTTATTCTGTTGTTGCTAGGAGAACAAGCTTAGCCAAATGTTGAATATCCGACAAGTTCTGCTCTGATACAACTACCTGTACCATCAACTTCTCAACCAGCCAACCAAAGTTGAGCAGGAAACCCCAAACGAGCTGCCTAGGTGTCTGCGGAAACCGTGGGTGCTATATAATTTTGCATTCATTACTCCTCTGCCCACGTACTGGAGTCACTCAACTAAGGCTACAAGGGCACAACAAACCCCCACAATGAATCACTCCAACAGGGCCACTCACCGTGACACTGAATGGGATGCTTCAACCATGTCCTTAACCATCAACCTTGCAACGATCAGGAACGCTGTTTACAGACTTCTAAAATAGAATACTTAGGGGCGTGTTTCAAAGGCTGTGGTGCTGTAGAAAATCTGCAGTACATCTGTACAAATTATTTGCTTCTGAAACATATCGGTATGCATTTTTGTGCAGCTTTCTAAGGGCGTGTTTCTTAAAAACAAAGGAGTGGTATGCTTAGAGCTAATGAAGGAAAAAGTTTCCATAGAGGTCTTGAAGAGCAAAAGGGATGTCGAAATGCCGTGCAGCTGTGTAGTCACAGAATTGTTTTGTTTTTAAGGTCAAAGAATATATGCTTTTTTCTGATGAATTCTTCAAACGCTAGGAGAGACCTTCTCTACAGTGTCCACACAACGCAGAAGGGCTTATTGGGCATACAATGACAACTGATTCAAATACTCAGATAAGCCTGATCAGAAAATTGTACTTACAGGCTGCAAAAAAGTCGTTTACCTGGTCTGGATGCATCAATTCATTGAAAAGTACCAGTTAACTGTTAGCGAACCACACACACTGTTATGTCAGCCCTGAGACTGATGCTGCTATACTGAAATTTTCTCTCTTTTTTTAACATTCACTAGTTATTCACTTTCTGAAACTTTGGAAATAGCTACAGAGTATTTCTTGGAAGAAATATCTGTGGCTCTTCTGGCACAAAAGTTTCTTCAATTAATTTGTGTTATGAACAGAAATGGTTTGGTTTCCCAAAATACATGGCAGTTTTTCTGCATTTGACATCTAACAACAGAGCTGACAATTGTACTAGTATTTTGATAATAAAACGGTCAAGAGCAAAACTGATAAATTCCTCTGTTTAATCAGTGGGGCATTTGGTTAAACATGGTACTAGCAAGTTTTTCAAGGTATCAGCACACAGGGTTAGTGGGTTACTGGATTTTTACTGAAAGTTTACAGACCACTGGGCCTCGAAAAGTGTATTTTTAATTGGTCTAGTCAGTGTCCCATCTCGCCACCTGTCCACCTGACCTGAGGACAGGCAGGATGATTCAGAACAGGTAGATTTTGCTTGCACAAAATTTACAAACCCCCATTTTTTTTTTCACAAATCTTTAACACTGGCGAATAGATCTTTATATTCCTGCCAAAGTGTTGGGGACTGTATGGGTATAGATGTTCACACATTTTGCTGGGAATGGACAGGAATTTTAAAGAATTGCCCAAGAAAAGACTGGATTATAAATGAAATGCTTTGGCCTAGTTCTGGACAAGTTGGGACAATGAATTCTTTGTGCTCAAAATTTGACTCTGCTGCTGATTTAAATAGCTGAACTGTTTGGTACATGTACCTCTTGATAAGACTTGGTTTCGAAAAATCAGGATAACCATTGCAATTGTTAGAAAATGATAGAATTAATAGAAGGGAAATGGGGAAATTAAAGCAGAGAGAAAGTAGAAAGAAATCTCACTCTTGAAAGACTTTGACAAGTTCTGGTCTGCGTGTGACCATCTGGTAGAAACTGATGAACTCTTCTGCATCCAAAGCTTTGGTGACGGTCTTCCCTTTAGCATCCTGATGTGTATGTACATCAGCAGTCTTTTTGGGACCGGAGGAGAAAAAAAAGGAAAAAGTTTAACCAATAAGTTGCACTTTTCAGACAAAAACATACTCAACTTTTGAAATGAAGGGAGTTGAATTCAAACAAAACAGTAATCTGTTACCATGCAACCCTCAAGTTTGGGCAGTGGATGAGTCAACATCAGTGGCAGTAAATGTCAAAATTACTGGCAGCATGTGTGGAACTAACGAGATTATTATCTATGACAAAATGATGTAAAGTTGGCACTTGATAATGATTTTGTTGCTATAAAAATGGTGGTGTCAAAGTTCTTGAATAAAAGAAGCCACTTCTCAGATAAGACCTTTAAACAACCACTTCAATGGTTAAAGGTTGCATACAGAGTAACCATTATGGTACCAAGTCAATGGGATGTACATGCAGGCTAACACAACCAGATCTAAATGTAGGTTGGGAGAAATGTTTGTCTAGGGAAAGGGACGGGCTGCGAAAGCAGAAGTAACGAACAGAAGGAAAAGGGACCCTGCCAAATTTGAGAACTATGATGGTAATACATTAAACATTATAAACAAAGTCACATTTAACATGCGTCGTAAGAACATTCAAAATTGATTACAAAATTGACAAGTTTGAGAAATACCGCTACACTGAAACAGACACAGCACCAGTGCTTTGTGTCATTTGAAACATGAAAGAGTTGTGTACATGTACCTCAAAGAGTTTCTTGGCATGATTCTTATCCATCTTGACGTTCATCTTCTTAAGGAGTTTCATACACTCCTCAAAGTCCACAGAGCCATCTTGGTTCCTGTCAGCCTTCTCAAAGGTTTCCCGGATCCAGCTTAGGATTGAAACGCGTCAAGGATCAACAAAAAAGTGAAAACTTTATCACTTGTTAACAACAGGAAAATTAGTTACTGAACTCAAACTACAGGAAGGCATGCACAATGACATGGCCTTCCAGTACACCGCGTATTCCCCCTTTCACTCTTTTGTGAGTCCCTGGTAAACAGCCAGCAGGCAATTTTAGGGAAAAAAGTTTAAAGCACAAAAAATTAAAATCAAGTCCCCACAGGTCATTTCGAGTCACCACAAGTTACCTCGGGTCCTAAGAAGTCATCTCAAGTTCTCAAAACTAATCTCAAGTCACTGTAAGTTACCCGGTATCTCAAGTCCCCCAATGTCATCTCAAGTCCTAACAAGTAAATCCCAAGTCATCCAGGTTCCAGTCTAAAGCTATTCAGGTGCAAGGAAATTCTTTTCTCTCTTGCCCTTCTCTGTGCCCTATGACCCCTGACCTCAATTGCCAATTTTGTTTTGGTTCGCAAAGGATACGCGGCCTGTTTGTCTTTGATGTTGAGGTTCTGGGCCTTCTTCTGGGCCCATCGGAGTCCCTGGGCCCACATGCGAGCATCCTCCTTTGTCGGGGCGACCAGGTTGATGGTGTGGTTCTCCGCCCCAACGATGAGCGCCAGACACAGATCCGAGCTGTACTTGGTCTTGACTTTGTTGTTCTTGAAGGTGTCTGTCTCATGGCCTGAGCGCACTTCATGAATGTCCTGAACAGGGACTGGTAACAGACACAAAGAACGGCATCTTCTTCAGGAATGGGAATTTCATTCAGAGTTCCACAAAATCAATCTAAAAGTTTTAATCATTGTTGGTGAAATTTCCTCTCCTTGTCCAATCCCCAAAAGAAGTTTAAGTCTTTTGTCCCCTTAAAATTCCCTACTAAATTTTTCTTTATACATGTATTTGGTTAGTTCCTTTACTCATACTACATGTAAATGATTAGGAAGATAATAAAAAAGACACGAAAATACTGTCTCCCCTCTCCACCGTAACAAAATCTTTTCATTAGAAGACTCTTTAAAAATGTGTTCAGAATGTCCAACATGCCAGGATGTTTCTGTTGGCTGCAGGACTTACTCTTTGATCGGGATGATGTCTTCTTGCTAGGATGGTACTCGAGGGTAAGCCCATCCTCACTCAGGGCAAAAGAACGGCTGTAGGTTTTGGAGCCATTCTCTCTGATCTTGATGAATTTGGTTCCATTTTGCATGTGCTGCAGTACTGGATTCACTACAGAAAAAAGGAAAAAATATAGTATCTTCTTTCAAGATCACACAATGTACATAAAAATAAGCAATACTACAAACTGCCGGTCCACCCTCGGCAAAACTTGCCAAACTCATACCCCTTGATGCTCTGGTACCAGAGCCCATGTCTTCCATTGTACCCAGGGTTGGGGATGGAAATGTTGAAGTACTAGTAATTGGTTTTCTCAAGCGTTTCAAATTTCTGAAATAAAACAGGCATTATAAATTTCATACCTCCAAAGAGTGTCTGTCCTGAATAATATTTGCCTGTTCTCAAGGCAGGTAGACAAGTTACCAAATGAGAAAGTGTATAGCACATGTAGGGTTAGATGATGAAAAAAACATACATGTATGCACCACATGTGCGTGCCTGTTTTTCCAGCCTAAAATTTATGAAACAAGTAATTTACCACACACACTTGTGAAAATATTCAGTATATTACATTACACCACTGAAAACATGAAGTACAATATTGTACAAATATTGCCTTATGCATGTACATACACCATGTACATGTATCACCCAAAGGTCTCACAAAACCCATCTACCAGCAGTTCAGAGACAAGTACAACAAACAGCGTTTCCCTGATCGATTTCTAAATTACCCCGACACGTCTAACTCCACGGGATAACTTATGCAAGGATGGCGCTGGCCAAATTCTGACCTGCTTAATATGTTTCCATGGAAACATCTGTGTTATTCATTTCCTTCATTTCCTATCTCTTCCAGCTGAATTTGTATTAACAACTCTCCCTGTGCATTACTCAGCTTCCGGTGAAGTTCTAAGCCCCTGGGTTAAGGTTTTCTTCCAAGTGCAATGGTGCAGTGCACTGTACAGAAAAGTCCTGCATGTACGTGTACATGTACTTTTTTTCCATTTGGAACAATTTCATTTAACGGCGCAATAATTTTTTTTCCACTGCTCAAACATGTATAAGCATTACGGCCTTATCTTTCCTGTCTTGCATATCAAGTTGCAAATTAGTGGAAACGGTTTGACAAAATGCGTACATGCACCTGAAATTCTGCAGTTTGCAACTGAAATATGCTGTTTCTCATGCCTCTGTTACGGATTGCCAGGGGTAATGAAGTCATTTATGCTTACATGTATATATAATGCATGGATTCTGTCCTTGACTTTAAAAGCCTTCAATGAAGCACGTTTCAATTAGTGTGTGCAATTGATTACACTGCTCATTAATTTACTGTGCTGTTCACATGTACATCATGATCGCTTTCAAACCTTGAAGTCTTTAGAATGTTTGCTTATACATATGTAACTGTTCACACAGAGAGTATGGTGCTTCACACAATTCTACTTTCTTTATTCACACCGGTACCAAGTGAGTTCATTCGACAGTGTTATCTAAAAGAGAGATACCGGTACATGTACTGTACATACACATTAGCCAAACAAAAAGGTTATGCTTCCTACCGGTATTTCCAGACCTACCGGTACCCTACATGGCTGATTTTGGGAAAATGTAGAAGTATATAGGAAGAAAAAGTTTGTCTACTGTAGTTTGAATGTGGGGCAAAAGGTTCGAGGGAGTCGGGGACTCATGTATGCTCGCAATTAGTGCACCTTAAAGTGCTGTTCCTTATATTTGAAACAAATGCCACTCGACCTCTCTTGCTTTATTTTACATCTGTTAACACCTATACACATGTCAATGTGGCTGCGCACTGAATCATTGAAAGGATTACACCTGTTAACACTTACCCGGTAGATACATGTACACATAGATGTACATGTACATGTAGCTGTGCACTGAATCATTGAAAAGAAACAATGCCCTCCTCCCCCCAAAAAATTCCTTGCTACAGGTAAGGGTTTTCAGATGCCATGTGATTGCAAGCAGAACTTTTTTATATTTGTGCCTAAGGCATCCCTTTGGAAATAAATCTTAACAGAGCAGGTGAAACAATCAACCCCAATTGAAAATGGTTTCTCTTGGTTTAGTTTTGTTGTCGCTTTTCATTTCTTAAGGACTGAAGAAATGAGCATTGCGGGCACTCGTTCTTGGTTTCTTTCCTATATGAAATGTTAAAGCCAATTTTTCAAATTCGACTTTAACAGCTTCGTGTAAAAAGGACTGAAGGAAACATCGCAATAATATTTATCTGACAAGAATATTTGAGTTTGTAGTCTCCATTAATCAAAGGCGACAAATAATGACAGGCCTCCGTGCGTGGCACACCAGACCTCAGCTAATGCATGCATCAATGGTAATCTTTTAATTCTAATTTAAACCAAGGCAAAAGGAATACAAATATTCAAAGTCCATTTCACATGTTATCAAGGTGAATGATACAGTTATGCAATGCACATAAGATAACATACAATGTGTGACCCTCTTGGAAAAAAGGTCGGTTCCAAAAGTGAAACATGAGTTAAACTGTAATGTGCATGTCTGGAAAACCAACAGAGTAAGCTTTCATTTTGTGTATGGCAAAGCTTAATATTAGTCCAATATGTTCCTTGGAGGTAACTTTTTTTTCCATAATTACTTCTCTGGAGTTCAAATCAATACAAGGGTCAGAAATTTGAGGTCCAATTGTTTTCTGTGTCCTCGTCACATCTGATGTGTGATTTTGGAACTTTAGAACACTCTCTAATTTCTAAGAGTGGAAAGTAATTTAACTTACATGTAGCTGCGAAACAAGTAGAAAAAGTGTGAAATCAGTGTCACTGATATTTCCATAGGTCAGGTGTAATAGCCTAGGGACACAAATGCCACACTTTTGGACCCTGACTTTATAGAATGTCCCACAACTGAGAAAACAGACTTTGAAAAGGTAAAATCTTACATGTATCCAGACCTACATGTAAGCTTAAATGACTCCCTTTAAATCTCCCTAGCAACCAGCATGCTCCTTTCAACATTTTTTTCCATAAAACTTGAAACTCCAGAGATCAAGGATGTTACTTCTGCCAACTGAAATTCTACAAGAAATTCCACCCCCTCAACTTTGAGTCACTTAAACTGCCTTTTAGTGGAACAGGTCACGCACATATGTACCAGTATTTTACTTGACGTGAAGTACATGTACCATATGTACTGTACATTGTATAGCCGATATGCCTCAGTTAAATACAAATGTATGCAGTATAAACCCATTTAACATGCCACTCCCTCAAATTCTATTAACAAGCACAGGCCAAAAGCATTACAGTCTACGTGTATAAGTACACTGTATGCACACACACGTACTGAGCCGGCTGTTAAGTACATGTACATGTACACCTGTACATGGGCTTGGGAACCTACATGTACATGCACTGTACAGTAGACCACATTTAATACTGTACCGGTGAACTCCTCCAGGGCGTTATTACATTTATGCATGTATGTGTACAGTACCCAAGGGCACTTTTGAGGAATCCTTGGGTTCATTACCAGAAATATAATGATTTTAATGTTCAATGCTGTGTAAGAGGCCATCAGAGTGGTTTTGGCAGAGTAATATTGATAGAGTTATTTGTTTTTCATCTCTTGATGGAATTGTTTCACTCCGTTTATTTTCAGCACAAGTCTTACAACAAACAGTACTACAGTATGCCACTGTTACACTGTACATGTATATCAACAAATGAAAATGAGTCAGTAATTGGAAAATTACATACATGTATGTACAAAAATTATGTACAGAAAAAAAATTCCTGTTTTGTAAATGAAGCACTATGACAAAAGTTCTAGAAACAAAAATGTACTTAGTCTTCTTCCAAAAGACGTAAACTTGCTTGTTCTGTTTCATACTTTCTGAACTTGTCACTGCCAAGTCTGCTTTTCTCAAACAAAAGAAACCTCTTGAGCTTGTGCATACAAATCTGCACTATACCGGTGCATGTACCTGTTCTGAGGATATCTCCATCTTCAAATTAAATCTTCCAAATACATGTAACACAAATCATCTTGTTCACTATGATCATAGGTGCAATGGCCTAGAGTTATTTATTTATGCCGGTACATGTACATGGCATGTGTGTGCTTAATGTGTGTAACCTTTTTGTACCGTACAGAGAAAATATACCGTACAATGTAAACTATGTGTACATGTACATGTAAGTCCTTCCCTAGAGAAATTGTATTAAAAGAATAAATAAATGCAGAAATTAGAGTTTGTGCTCTTAACTGCATGTACATGTACATTGTAGATTATCTGAGTACAAAAACCTCTCGGTTTCAAATGTACATGCAGCAGTACGGTAAAATACACAGTTATTGATCTACCGGTACTATATCAATTACAAGCAGATATCAAAACCACTTTGATAGCCTCTTACACAGCAATACACATGTAAACCAAACCAAGGGATTCTTTTAAAGTGTCCTAGGCACAGTACATGTACATGTAGCTCTCAAGTAAACAATGGGATGCAGTTAAAGTGGGGGAAATCCCAGAAAAAAAAACATGTACTGGTACATGTACTCTGAGTAAAACCCAGGGAATCAGGGAGGGACTGAAAACCCAATCCATCAGGCTCGTGACATCAATACGGTACATGTACATGTACGTTTACAAGTCGTACAGTTCGGGTTTTTTTTCAGGCCAGGTACATGTACCGGTACATACATGTACATGTACATGCATGGTACCAGTACACCTGTAGCGAAGTGGTGAGATACAGAATTAAAAAAGAAAAATTAAAAAAGAAAAAGAAATCTGCCGACGTGTTTTTGTTCCTTTACACATCTGAGTTCATTACAAAGCAAACTTAACTGCAGAAAAACATACAATTTCAAATAAATCACTGAATGTACATGTACATATACATGTACATAACTGAAGTGGAAGCAACTTGTTGGTACTGTGTTCATGTGCAGTATTGTGCAATCAGATTACTGCAATACGGGTAACTGATTACTTTTATAGGTGAGCTGCACGTAAAAGTATTATGTCATCTCCAGTTTTTGCTGGTTTTCAGGCTCTGTTAGGCTACATGTATTTCACTGGGGGGAAGGACACCTGGCTCGTT